TAGCAAGCTTGTCTTCTCCTGTTATCACCTGTACTTGTGGTCACTGCATTTCATCTCATGTGCTTGGACGACTAATGTAACGGCCCCATAATCGTTTACTCCACAACTGCTACGTTGAAAGCTATCCGGTATCTTAGTTTCTTACTGTCATATGACGCGAAGTTGAATGGTGGCAGGAACCCTCTCGCCAACAGCGATGCATATATGAGCATAAACACACCGCAATCGTTGAAGTTGTGTTGCTTTGGAATGCCTTCCACTGTCCATATATGGTTGAAGTGTTTGGTGTCGATCTCTTGACCTTGTTCGATTGATCTCATATACAAAAATTTTGCGAACCCCCCTGTCACCTTCATCGCGAGTTCTTTGTTCGGTGTGATCGAGTCGTAGTACTCGAATTTCATGCGTCTCAAGTCTGCCACTACGAATGTCCAATGTTGATTGTGCAAGACATGGAAAGGTGCAATAATCAAATCCATGTCGCTAATCACAACCTCTGTGAACCATTTGCGAACCTTATCGTAGTGGATCATCATATTGCTATCAAATAGTTTGGCAAAAAAAAACGAGCTGAGAATTGCTATTCTAGGGATGCGCCCCTTTCCTGTTTTAGCCACATTCTAATTATTCGAGTCGCAGGACACTCGTTGTCTAGTTGGACGAGGTTAAGATAAAAATTTACTATCTCCTCATTCAACCATTTTTTTTCTACCATTAGTAAGTTAAAACCGTTAACAGTCATTGTGAGTTCTTCCCTTGTGTCTTCGTTATACGAGCTTGCTATGATGTCTTTATTCCCGATATCAACCGACAATCGTGTGAGTGTCTCCATCTCCTGCTCCGTGAAGTTCGTTGTTGCCAAGTGTACGGTCCATCCTTTTTTGCACCTCCGATTATCCTCCACTATTGTTTGCGCTGCACATGACTACGCGGCATGTCTTTATGTGAGCTACTGGTATAAGATGTGTAGTCCTAGTCTTGCTATATGCACTCGGTTTGATGGGTTAATGCAAATGTCATAGCGAGTGTTACTTTAAAGGGGTTGGGTGCTTATACGAAAAATGGAGTTCACGAGCGGAAATAACACAATGCTACATCGTTTATAATGCACTTTCGTCACTATGCATTATGCATTACATCATTTATTGACAACTGGACTTAATCATTGACACACAGAGAGAGAGAGAGAGAGAGAGAGAGAGAGAGAGAGAGAGAGAAAGAGAGAGAGAGAGAGAGAGAGAGAGAGAGCTGGTGCCATATATGACGATTAACATTTTATTCCTCAATCCTCTCAAAACTTTGCATAACATTTTATGTTATTCATATTGTTCATCTCAATAACACGTAGTCACTCTATCTACACACATATACACATACACACTTCACTTCGTGCGCACATATATACACCCACCCACCCACACACACACACACACACACACACACACACAACCCTGTTCATGTCTCTAAATATTCATCCTTTGTATTTTTGCCTTTTCTCTTGTCGAACGGCTAATGAGTCTCTCTCCTTCGTCCCCTTCGTTCTGCTCCTTGTTATCTTCCCCGACATCTTTACCACTAGCATTCCCCTTTGCATGTGCAACTTGCCCTTCCTCGCTCTCGGAAACGCAATTAATCACATTGGCCGATGTGTTGGACCCTTCGAGTTTTTTATTATCTTCCCTCTTCACATCATTCAATAGTTTTATCATCTCATCTGAGTTTTCTTTCGCCTCGGCTGCAAGTTCTGTACACACACCTGGTTGCATTGCCTTCGCAACCACATCCTCCACTGAAGGAGTGGGACTCTCCATTTGCGATGCCCCTTCGTTTCCCACCTGTGTCACAAGCGGAGACCCGTATGATGCAACGTTTGATTTTTGTTCGACCGCCAGAGACGCAGGAGCTCCCTTAACCCCGTAGTTATCCGCTCTCCATCTCCTTGAAGAAGGGTGTTTCCCTTCTCTGTGTCGTTTGCTGCGACACACGTTTGACTCAGCGCTTCTTCTTCACTCACTGCAAAGTTAGCCTGCGACATTGCCGCAAGTTGAGAACATTCAACAAGAATGCTTTCGAGCCCGTGGTATGTGGGAGACTGTTTGATTTTCCAGTCGATTTTGTTATGCGACCGGCTTGATAGCAAATCGTAAAATTGATGCTTGTACTCCAAGCGATTGCTGGAGCGTAGAGACTCGAACAACGATCGGGCCTTTGTGCAGATAGGGGTTTCATCATCACCATGGTTTTCCTTCGTAACACGTAATACGATTTCGCCGTTTGTGGTTTTCAATCATGAATCTTCTGCCATCCTGGGTTTGACTTTCCAGCCATCCCTCAGATGGAGTGCCATTGCCCACTTCCCCTCGTTAATGCACAATTCGAACACATCTGGGTGCCACAGTATGTGATGCCCCCACTTCTCTGACGACGTCTCTTCTTCCACGTCATGAAATACATAGGGCGAGGTGGAGCCCTACATGAAGCCTTCTGGAATATCATCACCGGGCGTCAACTTCAAGAAGACACCTGGAACAACCAAGTCATCCTCGTCGGCGTCATCCTGCACGTCGTTCATCCTCATCCCTCCAGAAATTCGTCCGATGGACCTTTTCTCTCCTTTATACCCGTAGCGATTGCCGTGAAGCAAGGTGTTAATTACGGCTTGAACGGGTGTCGGTGAATCCCTTGGGAATTCACCAGCGGAACTTGCCCTGTCCTGCGTGTCAACCACATGAGTGCTCAGTGGTCTGGATTGTTGCAGACCTTCTTCAGGGTTCTCGTTTTGCACGCTGCCGTCCGGAACATTTTGCACTCCCTCACGACCACGTGCACCATCTCGCGAACGCTTAACCCGTAGGTCGATTTCAAGGTCCAAGGTCTCAGTCTCTTCATCGCTGTCAATCGGATTTCACGCATCGGTTCTACATGCGACGTCACTGTAGTCGTTGTACGTCAACTTGCTGCAATGTCTCATGAACTTTAGCTCTTCGCATCGGGCCACAAACAATGCGAATGCCCCCACCTCCGCCTTGTGGTAACCACCATATGCTTCTTGTGCCATCGCTTTACGATAGATGTATTTGTGTTGGAATGCAGTCTTGGGGCCGCCCTGGAACAAGTAGTCCCACATTTTCTTTCTCATACTCCCCAACTTGTGGTACATGTCCCTGTTCGAGCGTTGTGTGCTCTTATGTTTCTCAATGGTGCAATCGTTTCTCGAATCCTTAGCGAGTATTTCGATGACCTTTGTCAAATATGCGATGTCTTTCGACGATGCATCGCACGCAAATACATGGTTCCCCGCGCGCAAAAGCTTCCACGCAAGGTCAGCATGTGGTTTCCCAAGGACTATAACCCCTTCGTCCTCATGCAGAAATGAGCTCATAAGGTTTGTAACCGCTGCGACGCTCGTTCCTAACGTCCATACTCCTCTTTTTCATTGCCTTCATCGCCGCCATGCTACTCTTAAAAAATTCTTCCACGACGTTTACTTCCACAATGTCTGCTTCTGAGCGCGACACTCTTGTAACCTTTATGAGGTCGCCTCCCTCGGCATGCAGGACGATCGCCATCATGTCCTTACTCTCAATTTACATATTCCTATATTTATTGACAGTCGTTCCGACCCTCATAAAGCGCTTCCAAGTGCGTGGTATCACCTCGACGTTTTCCCAGTTGTAGAGGTGTCGCATGACGGTCTTGTGATGTTTCTGTGGCGCGAATACGATCAATGTGCAATTCTCGCTACACAACTTTGACATCATTTTATATAGAGCGTCGAAGTCCTCCGGCGACCACGCAGAGCAATGCGACGGTAATGCGAGATCCAAGATGGCGCCTTGCAATTGAGGTTTGTGGCAGTGGTAACAACTTCGTCTTGCGCAGACAGCAACTCCCTTGGGTGCATATTGATCGGCAGCAATGTTGCCCGTCGCCCTTTCCCTTACCACAAAAGGTGAAGCGCAACATTTGACAATCGGCACATCTCCGCCGTGTGCAAGTCCACCTTTCCTATCGCCTGGTACACGAAGACCTTAAAATGAAAGGGCGCATCTTTATACAATGCCTCTGTGGCCTTCAACCCTACTCCTTTCAGGCCTTTCATTTCTTGGTCACCACCAAGTCGTTTTGGAACCTTCCTAACGTACTCCAAAGAGATTTTATCCCTTTCCTTGTCCCATGCTTCCGCCGTGACACTGTACCTCTCTGTCATGTCATTGTAATCGAAGAAGAACTCTTGGTTTCAGTCGTCCTTCTCTCTGTTCTCGATTTGAACATGATGTAGTTGAGGAGACGCATCATGTACATCTCGTGCATGATAATGTCGAGGAGGTTGTTCATGTTCAACTTCCCCGTAGGAACCTGTCTAACGGTGGCTATGACCTTCTTGTTGATCATCAGCCTCAATACGACTTTCGTCTCTCCTGCTGTCATATCTCCAAAGCATTTGAAGTTTGATGGAACGAGATCTTTGAAGGGGACGGTGGCTCCATGCCCCCCGTCCTTAGCGCGATGCAATGGAACACCTCCTTTTTCCCATTGACTTCTTCTGTATATTGCCCCGGAAGCTTCCCCTCTTGCCTCCCCGACATATCTTTAGGGCACCTGCCATCGTAAAGTGGCAACTCTCCTTCTTCGAACTTCTCAAAAAAAAAAATCACCAACAGTCATATCCACCTCTTACACGTCGCGACGTTCATGTATCCTCTCATCCCGTTCGACCAGTCGGGCTGCCACTTCGGATGCAAAGCCTCAGTCCAAAGGTTTTTTTCACATCAACGGCCCATACAAATCCTCATGAATTTCCGCCACGTCTCCTGGTGCATTTTACCGTTGATGTCGTTTTCAGCTACCTTGTAACCCACAGGCTCGATGTATTTCTTCAACCGCCAAAAACCTCTTATGTCGTCACATGCCTGGTGGAACGACGGTAACATGGCACGGTCAACTCTCGTGTTGTCGTATGTCGAAACAAACGAATACCCGTGTTTGTGATTGTCGTCAAAGTAAACAACGCGTAATCGGTCATAATCATGCAAACCGTATATGTCAATAGCAGGAGATCCCCGACGTACCGTCCTTTTCATGGCCTCTTAGCTGTGCTGCCCAGCAACCGGGTAATAGAAGTATTCCTTTGCACGCCTCCAATCAAAGTCCTCCGGAAGAACACATGTTCCTTGGACATTGGGGTCATCCGCACAAGGCGTAATTAGAGCGAGTATCAACTCCGGCGGTTCCCACGGAGCATCATCATTCATACCTCTTTGAGCAGTGAACCTATCAATTGCTGCATTGAGACCTGCAACAATTGCCTTGTTCAGCGACCGCTGGTTGAATGTGATATCCCCATCGGGAATCGGAAGAATCGACATGACATCTATGCAAACCCTTGACACGTCTTTTCTTTTCCTGCCATCTTCATCGTACTCGAGAAAGAAGCACCGTGTCATGTCGACCGCACGGGGCCTCTTCGTTTCCATTTCGTCCTCGGCAATGAGGTCAGGCCGACGACGACCCACCCCTTCAGCGTCATCGCTTGAATCATCTGACTTGGGAAGCCTTGATGAGCATGCAGCCCTCTTAGGTTGCGATGTTTTGCGAAAACAGCTGCCTTCTTTACGTTTCTTGGCGGCTTCGCCAAGCGTTTCCTGTGATGCATCCAAGGCACATCGAGCATCATCCACAACTTCTTTTCTGGCTCGTTTCTTCATCGCCGCTGGTGTAAGAGATGCATTTGCTTTCCGCTTACCCCTACTCTTAGAAGCTCCACCCGTTTCTACATCGCCATCCCCTCCATCGTCCTCCACACCCTCATTCTGCATTCATTCACTTTGTTCCTTGTCATTGTGTGGCCCACCACTCGACGCACCCATTTCACTTTGTTCCTGTCATTGTATTCCTCATCCGAACAGTCGTCACCACATCGCCCACTGCCACCAGGACGTTGTTCGAGTTCCACGTTCCCTTCGCTGTCTCCTCCGGCGCCCCCGTCTCGTGAGTCCTCCAAGGACCCTACGTCCCGTCCGCAGAACCCAACATCCTCCTCCGTTTCCGTTTGCTCCTCAGACCGTTGGTTGACGGCTTGAAGATCCGTCTGCCGCGAGTGTGAAGTGCCAGTAGTCGCTGCAGGTCCTTGTAGTTTTTGTGGAGGTGTGGCGAGTTGCTTCCTCTTCGCAACCTTATCCGATGAACCTGCCCCCGACCGCCTGGAATACGTAATTACCTTCTGAGCAACGTCTGAATGTTGCTGAGAAGTTGAAGGCACTTGGCGTGCTTCCCCACAAGACTGCAAAACGCCAGCGACACCCTGGACCGGAGTGTCGTACGGGACAAGCGGTCCTGTGAACTGATGACCGACGTCTACCTTCGGGTACTGACCACATTTTCTATAGCTGTTTGTTTTGTTAAGAAAATCCACCGGATGAACCATCCGAAATTCACTTCCACCCCCCTTCGCTTCGAAGGGTTTCATATCGAACGCCCTCTGACCGTACCCTTTAAACAGGGCTAGGTCGAGGCTGACTTTCTTGTCGGCGCCGACCCAGTCGGTGCCCTGTTCATCGTAAACGGAAGTGAGATGGAATTTCCTCAAGTCGCTGTCATCAACCTTGCCCTTCTCCGTCGTCGCCTTATCGCCCTCGGACTTCATGATGCCACCACAACAGTACCAATTCAGACCTCCATCTTCCGTCAACAAAACTATAGCACCACATCCGGCCTCATGGGTGCCACCCACCCAGTCAAGAGCCCAAAGCTTATCACGGTAGAGTTTGGACCTGTTGTTGACCCTTTTCTTCCCATCTCCTGAAGTCCTTGGTTTCCTTCCTGGACGGGCAAACATACGCAAAGACCGACCGAACAAACAGACAGCTTTCATCGCCATATCACCAACTGGATCCCCTAACATCAGACACTAAGCAAGTGATCGTTCCAGGGAGGGTCTACATTGCTGCACGAAGTCGAGTGGGGGTCCAACGTTTGTGAAATGTTGGACCCTCCCCCCTATTTGTGCCGGAGGGGGAGAGTGTCCGGCGTTTCACAAACGCAGACCCCTTGGGGGCACGAAGTGCAGCGGGGGTCCGGCGTTTGTGGAACTCCCCTACCTGTGGCGAAGGACGAGAGGGTCCGGCGTTTCGCAAACGCTGGACCCCACGAGGGCATGAAGCGGAGCGGGTTATACACCCTCTGCACACAAACTCCCCTGGGCTAGCGCACCATACTATCACAGATACTGCTTGTGCACCACCCACCACATCACCAACTGTAGCCCCTAACAGCAGTCCCTCTCAAGTGATCGTGCCAGGGAGGGTCTACATTGGTGCACGAAGTTGAGTGGGGGTCCAGCGTTTGTGAAACGCTGGACCCTCCCCCCTATCTGTGCCGAAAGGGGAGAGGGTCCGACGTTTCACAAACGCGGACCCCTTGGGGGCACGAAGCACAGTGGGGGTCCGACGTTTGTGGAACGTTGGACCCACTCCCCTACGTGTGGCAAACGATGAGAGGGTCTGACGTTTCGCAAACGCTGGACCGCACGAGGGCACGAAGCGGAGCAGGCACTACACCCTCTGCACACGAACTCCACTGGGCTAGCGCATCGTACTATCACATATACTGTCTGCGCACCACCCACGGGGCCAGTCCTTTAAGAAGGGGGAGGGTGTCATCGCCACATCACTAACTGGATCCCCTGACAATAGACCCTCTCCAACGATCATTCCAGGGAGGGTCCCCCTTGGTGCATCTTCGGTTATGTATAGGGTCCGGCGTTTCGTAAACGCCTGACCCCCCTGCTGGCAGACAGAGGTGTGGGGGTCCGGCGTTTGTGAAACGCCAGACCCTCTCCCTCTTCGGCACCGAAGGGGGAGAGGGTCCGGCATTGCGGAAACTCCGGGCCCCCCTATTGGCAGGCAGAGGTGTGGGGGTCCGGCGTTTGTGAAACACCAGACCCTCTCCCTCTTCGGCACCGAAGGGGGAGAGGGTCCAGCGTTTCGCAAACGCCGGACGCCCCTACTGGCAGGCAGAGGTGTGGGGGTCCGGCGTTTCGCAAACGCGCCCCCCCCCCCCTGCTGGCAGGCAGAGGTGTGGGGTCCGGTGTGGGGTTCCGGCGTTTGTGAAACGTTGGACCCTCTCCCTCTTCGGCACCAAAGGGTTAGAGGGTCCGGCATAGCAGAGGTGTGGGGGTCTGGCGTTTGTGAAATGCCAGACTCTCTCCCTCTTCGGCACCGAAGGGGGAGAGGGTCCAGCGTTTCGCAAACGTCGGACCCCCCTGTTGGCAGGCAGAGGCATGGGGGTCCGGCGTTTGTGAAACGCCGGACCCTCTCCCTCTTCGGCACCAAAGGGGGAGAGGGTCCCGCATTTCGCAAACGCCGGACCCCCCTGCTGGCAGGCAAAGGTGTGGGGGTCCGGCATTTGTGAAACGCCGGACCCTCTCCCTCTTCGGCATCAAAGGGGGAGAGGGTCCGGCGTTTCGCAAACGCCGGACCCCCCTGTTGGCAGGCAGATGTGTGGGGGTCCGGCGTTTGTGAAATGTCGGACCCTCTCCCTCTTCGGCACCGAAGGGGGAGAGGGTACGACGTTTCGCAAACGCCGGACCCCCCTGCTGGCAGGCAGAGGTGTGGGGGTCCGGCGTTCGTGAAACGCCGGACCCTCTCCCTCTTCGGCTGCGAAGGGGGAGAGGGTCCGCCATCTCTCTCTGTCTCTCTCTCTGTCTCTCTCTCTCTCTCTCTCTCTCTCTCTCTCTCTCTCTCTCTCTCTCTCTCTCT